GATGGATGGATGGATGGATTCAGACCAAACAGTAATGTACTATGGTAACAAATAAAGACAAATGAAGTAATATCTCTGGATAAGCTTATGACATCAGAATGATCCAACTATCAAAATGTAGCTTTTAAAGCAGGAATCTGAAAATGTAATTAGGTCATTTTGACCAAATTTGACTTAATCCTCATTTCGATATGATGGGTCAGGTATATTTTTGCTCTGTGGCACTAATCCTCTTCTGTAATATTGCCGTGTTTATTTATTTATTTATTTATTTATTAGTTAACTTTAGTATTGAACTATCACATGCACAGGTATACGAGCAAAAACATTATCACCTTCATCTTCGGTAAAGAGTGATTTTTTAAAATTAATTAATTAATTTTTTTCACCAACGTACCCGTAGGGCACAAGTGCCAAACTCAAGGCCCGTGGGCCGAATCTGGCCCTTGTTAACGTTATATCCGGCCCCAAAGTTAAAATAATAAATTTGAAATAGTTTTTCTTGTCTTGGTGGATCCTTCTCATGACAGCCGGCCAACTGTCAAGCCAGGAAAATGAAGTTTGAATATTTTAGTAATCTTTGATTTCAGTGTGGAAAGAGTAATTGAGAATCAACTTTGACTATCTTTTTTTTTTACAATTTGTTCTTATTATAAAGTCAAATAATTTGATTTTTGTGAGTTTTTTTTTACCTGAATTTTCTAGACTGTGATAAAATGTATCTTTGAGTTATAATAAAAGAAAAAGTTATTGGTAGAGAATAATACATAAGAAATGAATGCTAATGAGATTGGTTTTTAAATTGAATATATGTTCTTTATCCTTCGGGTAATGTATGTTCTAAACACTACACATAATTTGGAAAAGGAAATCTGTTTTTCTATAAGAATAATTTGTTATTTAACATCTCTTCAATAATCATGTTGACAGAAATTGGTCATTGGTTTGGACCAAATTTTGAATTTTGGCCCTTTTGTGTAACTGAGTTTGACACCTCTGCCTCMGGGTCTTTAATGCTGCCACATCTCTCCATCTACAAGTTACCTCCTCCCTACAGTTATTGCCACCATTGTTTAAGTTTTTTTTCCTTATTGTTCAGGGACTTTTAACTCTTACAGGGTCTTCACACGAGCTCAACTGCTGCGATATTCTTCAAACTCTGGTCCAAGCTTTGTGGTAACGATTTAAACCCGTTGAGAGGGTGTCGTTTCTTCGGTGAAGCAGGGTGTTTGTTTTGTATCTTGCATGCAAATACTGTTCTCCTGTGTTCAATTATTTGCATAAGTTCAAACTCTCTGGACCTGGTCTTGAATACATCGTTGTGAGGGAAAGGTTAGAACCCATTGATTCAAAAAAAAAAAAAAAACAGTTTTGGAAGAGTCCTAGCAGAAAACTGCACATGTTCTTGCTTTACTTGTGTTTTGCAATAGCTGTATTACTGGCATGTTTCTATTTAGTGTTAAATATAAATACATATATATGCATTTCAAAGAGTTTAAATGAATATGTTTGTCAGTGGGTTTAAATATTTATTTAGGAGTTCTACGTTCTAAAATGCATCACATATCCTAAAAGCTGTGAATTGTTAATATCATCTCTGAATCCTTGATTTGTCTTTTGTTCCGTTGTGAGTTCGTGTTCTACCTCAGAGCTGTAAAAAAAAAAAGCTTTCTGTTGGTGTTCTGTTCAGGATGTGTCGGCTTAGAGTTGCTTGAGGAGGTGCAATTTCAGTCTTGAAAACAGTTTTTCTGGAAAACAAACAAAAAAAAGGTTTTCTTTTGCACAGTTCTTCTCTAGTGTGTTCATAAACTCACATACGAGGAGAATTTGGGACTGAATGACCAAATAAAGTAACTTTTGCTGTGAGTCTGGTGGTTTGGAGAGTTCCTTGGTGTAATTTTGTCTGTGATAAGGAGATAATCCTGATTGTGAATGATGTTACATCATCTTCAGATCTGTGTAAATGTATATTGATACATAGTTTTGGATTTAACTGCAGGCAGTTTGATGTGGATAAAATCAGCATTTATTTGATCATGCAGCAGCTTACACACTCTGCTTGACTATTAATTGTGTTTCATTGGTTTAACTGATAGAAATCTGACCTCTGATGGGCGTTTGTTAATCTGACATTGTTCCCCGGATTTCACTTCAGCGCTTTAAGTGTTGCAGCCACATGATGACACAGGAAAAAGGCTGTTAACATGCAGCGCTGCCTTTAAGCTGTTCTGTACTCACTCTCAGCAGATAATGTTTCAAAAATCCTCTCAGGTTCTTCAACAGCCAAAAATAAAATCCAATGTTCTTTTTTTATTCAACATCACCCATCACAATCGTCACCAACGTATCTCTGTTGTTAAAACAATTTACCATAAAAAGGTTCTTTTCATCCAGCTGGAGTCACGGTCCTGAGCAGTCCAGTCCTTGCTCACTCATATCAGTCCACCTGCAATGTGGCCTTGGTCCGTCGATCTCCTACTGGTCACTGCGACAACGCCAACTGTTATGGCTGTTTAACAAAGACAGAAATACGTGGTCCAAGAATGAAGATACTCCGTGGGATGATCAGCTGAGTTTTWTTGCAACAACAGGAAACACAGAGAACAACCTGGCCTGTCTCTGTGCCTCTGCTACTCTCTGTCACTGTCTCTCCACACTACTCACTGTGTCTCGAGAGGCCTCATATATATATTAACAAACACCATAATGTCATCTTAGCAAGATTTGATACAAGGTCAATGGAAAACACAAAGATAAACACAAGTGATATCTAAGAATGACTGTTGTTAGCAGATCTTGTTCTGACTTTAATCATTCTATCTGCAGATGAACAGCATGAAAACCTAGGTCATTAAAGGATGTCATGAATTATTTGCTTAAACATAAAAGTATTAGTTCCATTACACAAGAAAATGTGGTTTTAACAAGCACTTAATTCACAAATGAAGCTGTGGGTTTCTCTTCTCCTGCTTGAAAGGACACGGACTCCTGCAGTGCAGACTGGCAACATGTTTTCCCCCTCAGCGAAGCAGCGGCCGGAGCTTCCTCCCATCTGCAGAGGGATCATTTGGCCTGTGCTCATTTGCATTTTCCACAGATCCCTGAGCAGTGTGACGCGAAGGAGCTCGCTACGTTTGAGCCATTTTGGGAACATGAGGGGATTACTACCACAGAAAACAAATCTTAATATTAACTTCAATGAAAGGAGATTTGGTGGGTGGTGAGGGGGTGTTAATTAATGCCCACCGAATGACTTTTAATGGGAGCTGTGATTTATTATGCATGGGGCAACGATTATTTCCCAACCTGCTGCGTCATTTCAAACAGGCTCGTTGCTACATTTGTTGTTTCCTCGCTGTGTTTCAGCAGCAAACGTTGGCAGGACTTTGAATGAGCTACAACCCACTCAGAAACCATTCTACGAGGCAGCCGACTTAGTAAATACATTATTTTTAATGCACCGTCTTTGAAGGACACGTACAGCAATGAAAAGTCAACAGTCCATGTCCGCTCCAGAGGCACGGTGAAACATCAGGARGCATCAGTTTGCTTCCCCGCTGCCTCGTGATGCCAGCTGCAGCTCTGCAGACGACTAACGAGGGCAAAGCAGAGGAGATCCCCAGAGAGGACRGCTTCTTTAGGAGCAGAACTTAAAGCATCAGAAGAGACACTAATGAGGAAACAGAGAAAATTAACCAGTAATACTGGGCAGATATGTAACTATAGAGATACACTGTGTACTTTGAAAAGGTTTGGGTTTCACACACGATAAAGACGACTAAAAAAAATCTCACAGATTCACAGATGGAGGACATAAAAGCTGATCTTTTATGAAGGTCTAGATAAACAATATAATTGGGCCCTTGTTTGGCTAGCCATTAGCTAAGCCTTTTCTTCGTATTCTAAGTTCTCTGATAACTCAGAACATCACTTCAAAAATGGCCAGACTTGCTCCTTAAATTTGCTTCATCGTTGTATCTGTTGTCACAATGTGACTAGTTGCGTCAAACTCAAGGCCCGCAGGCCAAATCTGGCCCCCGTTAACATTTTATCAGGGTCCAAATACTTTAAATACTTTAAATGTGAAATACTTAATAATAAGCGTAATAATAATACTTATAATAAGTTTGAATTTCTCCGTAA